TCTTTTAAAACATGTTTCTTTCTTTTCATATCCAGAGAAATATTCTGTCTTTTCAATATTTCCTAGGCTGTTTCATTTTTCTGGGAGAGGGCTGGATGATAACTTCCCACATGCCAACACATAAGTCTATCTGGAAGATAAAAACAGAAGTTAACAAAAGATAGTAAAATACAGTACAGTATGAGCTCACTGCTCAACATCTCTGGATGGCTGTTTTATATTTTATGCTAAACCACAATATCTTGAATTATTTTTTTCTAATTAGTAATTTGCTTGAGAACCTTTTAATGCCTCAAAGGAGGGGAGCTACATAAACTCGCTTCCTTGGCATTACAAGAACTGATAAGTAGAACACTGCAACCTCTTTTTAAAGGAGGGCAATTATTGATTACAATCAACATCTCTCTGAAATATGTTGATCATGACCCTATTAAGTTGTTAAACGTCTCTCTCTCTCTTTTTAATAATGAAAAACTATGTCTTATCAGAAAACAAGATCAACTGATAACTGGCTATTCCATAAAATAGCTTTGTTTTAGAAACACATTTGAACTGTCTAAAGGAGTATTCTTTCAAAAGAAACCAATTGCTCATTTCCAGTAAAACCGAAATTGCATCATCTCCTCAGACTGACATGCTGAGCAATTAGTCAAAGAGCTAATTTATAGAGGAATCATAAAACAGCTTTTCTCGTGTTTTATTCCATTGAAAGCTATGTCACATGGTAAAAGCCTTCAAAAACTTACTGATGTCTGGTGAAGTTCACTAATTGCTGGGTGGCTATGGGAATGGGCAGATTGGCAGTTGACCCTGAGTGGGTACTGTTTCAACAAACAAAAAGGAAACCTGTTTAACAATAGGATGAAATCTTCATCAAATATATCCCAAAGAACCAAATTTAATTTTGTATTTATTGTTTAATAAAAGAATTATGATATTTTAATAACATGGGTTTATTTTAGAATAAAATCAGATATATTAGCCATATAGGTAATAAAAATCAATATTCAACATGATTGGATAGAGAAAGTGTGATCCTAAGTTAACAATCAGAATTTTTTTTGAAAGATGGTATCTTCTACAGTAAGACATTCTTTTTTAATTCTGACATTTTATTTTTGTCTCTTGATTCATTTAATAATTTTTTTAAAAGTAATTTACCACTAAATTTACGAGCAACAGGAAAAAAAATCTCTCCCCTTGTTTGCTACAAATATCTGAATAGTTTTGTAAAATCTGACAAACTGTTTTGATAGTCTGTATATAATTGAATTTAAGAAAGCAAGTCCTTTCTTCTGATCTATTTGGAAGAAATATTTAATTATTCTGAAAAGGAAATTAAGGTATTTCTTAAGGAAAAGTTAACATATTCCTAGTAAATGGACTGAGTTATATTCAACTTTTTTTATACAGCAAAATGTTTCAGATACTATCAGTAATCATTTATAATTCTCAGTACTTACCATATGAATTAATCATTTAAAATATACTAATTTCTAATAAAATTATTTAGATCTTGAAATAATTCTAAATAATTCATTGATTTTCGGTTCTTTTGAGTTAAGTGTTGATTTCTGGTAACTAGGCACTGCAGTTTTCTTGGAAAGATTTTGGAAGTGATTTGCCATTGTTTCCTTCCTAAGGGTGGGATATTGTTGAAGTGTGAGGACCAGCCACACTTTTTTTCAGAACTGCTGTAACTGGATCATGAAATCTGAATATATGGAATACAAAATGAAAAGTTTGTTAGATTAATAGCCTACCTGTCCTCCAAGAGCTCAAGGGAAATCCAGGATTTTCCACTGATGGAGATGCTTTCTTTCTGCAACCAGGAGGGAAACAACACCTCCTCTCCTCTGAATTTTCAAATGATATTCCGAATGTATTTTGGAACATGTGTATGTGTATGCTACATAGAGAGCAAAAGTCTTTCATATGGCACAGTATGGGATTATAACTCATTCAATGATAAAGGCACTCAGAAAATAGCCTTTGCTGTGGCAGCTTCAATTACACCATGTCTCCTCCCAAGTTTGGTTGGTCACCCCCTTGTTATCTTTTAGAACAACAAAAACAATACTATTCTACATAGTGTTTGCATAAGAATGTTTTAATTGTTTTAGCGATATTTGAGATACGTTAGAGAAATTTATTTTTCTCTACCTAAGTCAGAAGTGTAATAAATCAGATAATGTATACATTTTTGTAATAAACAAATAGAGCAACCCAGTGTTTCTATATAGTAATAACTCATTGGAGAAAGAGCCCATGGAATTTTTTTATATTTTGTATTCTGCTTCTAATGAAAAAGCACATCTAATAAATGATATTTATGATCACTTTCAAGCTTAATTTGATATAGATGTCAAATGTCTTAAATAATATGTTGCTAAGTTAATGTAATGTTACATTTATGAATAAAATGTATTTATATCAATTTATAAAGATGAATACTACAAAAGAAAATACTCTAAAAAGGGATTCTTGTAAAGAAATCATGTGAAATTTAGTTTTGAAACGTATTTTGCATCAAAGAATCCAGTTCCTGCCATCCACAATGACTGAATCATATGGACTGATTGGGTATCTAAAGTAGCTTCCTAAATACTTGTGACAAAATGAATAACTAGATATGCCAATTATGTAGTTATATCACTTGTAGATTTCAGTTTCCCCCTGTGGATAGCCACATTTAGGTTTTTATTTATTGGGAAATTACCTATAGAAATTTATTTTTAAAATTGAAAAAAATATTAAAGGTTACAGAGAAACTAATTGCACTGTTCCCCGGTATGACTTAAAGAAATAAACTCTCTTTAGAAACCAATAAAAGACCAAAGCAGTACTTTGTAACATAAAAGTAGTCTGTGAGGGAAATGGGTGGTTCAAAAATGAGATAAATAAAATAAAATAAACATCCCAATTTCAGCCTTTTCAGTTCTTATTCATTTAGGAGAACAGAGTTAATGTTAACTTATTAGACAGCAAAAGTAAGAAATAACATATTCAAGTTTTACATATCACATCAGACTTTCATTTTATGCAACTAACTATTTCACATTTAACATTGTACAAAATAGACAGTACCATTGTGCCTGTAGTAGAAGTACTGGAGTTAAAAACAGAAAAATACATTACTGCAAGAGACCAGCAAACATCACAATTAGCAGGGCTACAAAATTCATTTCTTGCTGAAAGGCTGTCATTATACATATTTAATATTTTTGGTTAGAATTATTCCCAAATATCCTATGTAACTTTTTATAGTTCACAAAATAAATATTTTAAGTGAAAAAAAGTTAATGCCTAACTATTAAGTGAAGTGCTCCCTTCAACAATACGCAACTGGACTTTTCACCAAAACAAATATTATTAACAGCCTGATCCTATGTATATTTTCCCAGAGTTAAATTTCACTGAATTCAGTGGGATCTATCCAAGTAAGTGCATAAGATTAACACAGAAACCACAAATATATAAACTGGCTAGACTTTCTCTTCTAGCTAATTATTTTAAGATCCATCATTATAAGAACCTTCATTTTTAAGTCAGAATCTGAAGGATGTTTTCATGAGGATATTTGTGGGTACAAAAATGCTAATATTGATAACGGGTTCAAGCAACAGAAAAATACAATAAATTTGGGAAAATGAATTAGAATGCTTCTACTACTACTATTTACTTTGTGCAATGTAACTCTATGCATGTTTGTTTGGAAGTAAATTCTAAACAGCTAATGCCTAAATTCCCTAGGGCAGGGGTGTCAAACACAAGGCCCGTGGCCCGTTTCTGGACCGCAATGTGGTCAGATCTGGCCACTGCGGCCATCCCGGAAACTGTAAGGGGTTGGTCTGCATCACTTCGGCCCAGCTCATGCCATCCAGGTGGACACGTGTGTGCACAGGCCTGGCCCACGACATCTGGGTAGGTGCATGTGTACACAGGAGGCAGTGGGAGCACGTGCAGCTGCCCAGATGGCATGGGCTAGGCCTGTGCACACAGCAGGCATCGGGCCAGCATCGCCTCTGTCCAGCCCACCTCATCTCAGCGTGGATGCCACCAGGTTGCAGATAAGCCCTGTGCCCATGTTCCCATATTCCCCACGTTCTTTGCACACACCTGACACACCTAGCACCACTGCCAGTAGCTTGCACAGGTCCATTAGGCTGCTACTTCATGGGGTGGGGCAGGGCTCAGCTCTCTTCGCCAAGAAGCCTCAGTGAAGGGGGCACATTATTGGAAGTCTCTACCCCTGACAGCTCCTGGGTGGCAACAGTTTCTGGCTTTCGCTGTCCTGCCCCCTGCCTCCCGACCCCTCATCCTGTGGGATGAGCCCCCTGCCCAACACCCCACCCACCAGAGATGCCTGGATTTCCTCCACAACCCCACCCGGTCCCCACAGGCACCACACATGCGAGCAACATCAAGCTGGCCACACCCCAGGTCATCAGCCTTGACCACTCCTGCCAGGTCTCTCCTTCCCCCCGGTCCCCGGAGGACAAATACAATGCTGATGCAGCCCTCAATGAAACCGAGTTTGACATCCTTGCCCTAGGGGAACAGCCTTAAGCCCAGCTGCATTTGCAGTAAATTATGAAGGTACCAAAATAATATGGCTGATGATGTCATCATACAGAAGTTACCATTATGTACTTTGTGACCTGATATGTGACACAAATAAGCAGCTTAAGATATTACTGTGATGACATCATTGTGCACATGCCATGACCCTCCTCCCTGCACTCATGTTTGTGCTGCTGAGTAAAAATGCAAGGACTGCACTGATTGTTGTAGTGCTATAAACTATGAACTCAGTGAGACATTTCTTAGAAATGCATAGACTTTTGTGCTGTCAATTAGGTATAAGTTCTGAATTGCTAATTAATTGCCTTATTCAATTAAAATAATTTTAGATTGGGTTTACATTCTGATAAGTAAATGTCATTCATTTAAGTGGACAATCGTGTATAAAAACATTCTTAGAAGTTCTAAATCATCTTCTCCCTCCCACTATATTCCTAATTCTACAGTACAGGTGAAAGAGTTAATCATTAATTTGTACATTAAAACATTTAACTGATTATAAACAAAATTTCAAAACCTATACTCATAAAAATATTTTATTGGAAAGTTTACATAATACTGAATGGGACTGTAAATCCTTTTGTTCTGTATCTCTATATTGCTAAATGCATAAATGACCACTATATCAAAAACAAATAACTGTATTTTACCTATGATTTACTCTATATTATTTAATAAAAGTTATTTCAAAAAATGCAAAAGGCTGATACAGGAACAAATGTAATACATATAGCATTTGCTTACTTATTTACTCTGGTGAAACATTCAATATTACTGGCCTGAATCCTAAAGGCTGCACAGGTTCTTTTCACACCCATACATAGGCACCATTGCTTTTAAAGTTCACCTCCTCCAACTGCAGTCCCCTGCACTACCCATTTTCAATCTTGGGAGATCTTTGGGAATGCTCTCTGGTGTGGTGCAAAGAACTATGGCTAAAAAAACCACACACACAAACAAAACAAAATAAACCACAAACTCATACACAAACTTAAAAGCCTCTTTGGATCCCAGCCTCCTGTTGTACAGATATATATCACTATAACACTGAGAAAATCTCGGAGAAAGTAAGTAGAAAATATAAATTATGATGGCATCATGTTTGGGATTTTAAAGTTATCAGCAATAGTTTTAAGATATAGAATTAAAAAAACAGAAGATGACTAATAATTTCAGAATAAATTTATGTTCTATAACAGAGAATACCAGTGTATAAGGACAAGGTAGTACTATATTTGAATTATAAAGCTAAACAATGTTTTTAACAGATTTACTTTTTTGCTTGTAAACATTAACAATAAATGTTTTAAATGTATGAGGAAAATATTGGAGAAGCTAGCAACATTATTCAGTTACAATAATCCAGTAAAATGTGTTGGACATTGGCAAAAATTCATACAAATGTTATATTTAATAGCATTTTCCTATTCAACCACACCAAGTACCAGCAGGTGTTTTAAAGATAATCATTATGAAAAGTCTTTTGCAGCAATAGTTGATTAAGTTGATCTTTGACTTGCATACATATATAACTATGATTCACAATTCTCAAATAATACATATTTAGGCAGCTTTTTTAATTCATTCAGTACATGCCAATAGCATAGAATCCAAGAGTTCTGTTAAAATTCACTAAAGTAAAAGAGGAAAAGGACTTGCCAGTAACACTGCATCAAGCATATTCAAACCACATTTTCATGGCACCATTGTATATGAAGATTAAAAAATTGATCTAAAAATGTTTTGTAGATTGCAGTGCAATTTAACTGCACTGCAGCACTGCTTGTAAAAAACTGCATAAATCATATCTAGGTAAACATAATCATGCATGGTGATAATAAGTCATGAAAATGCGGTAACTGTTGGCAGAAGTTGTATATATGTAATTTTTTGAGACAAAAGACTAAATAAACTGAAGTAAATAAACTTTAATGAGATTCTCCATTCAGTGATGAGGCTTCTCCTCTAGGTGAAGATGACCTGGACATTCCTCTCTCTGTATTGTCAGAACTAGAACCACTCTGACTGTGCTGGTCTGCAGAAGCTGCACTTGAAGCAGGTGACGACTTAGTTTTTTCCTTAAAGTCTGTAATAATGACTGTCAGATCACCAACAGTAACTTCCAAATGTTGAGCACTACTTCGATCCACATTTTTCAATCTGGGCCTAAAATAATATAAATAATCAAATGAAAGAGGAAACTCAGAAAATGTTCCAGTCTTTTACTTTAAAGATTTTTCTGGAACCACAAAGAATGCTTGTATCTCCTGTATTATGGTACAATTCATTATCAAGACCTTTTAAAATTGATTGAACCTTTGAATTATGTCAAGCAAATGTCTGTTAGACCTGATCCCTGAATATTTAAAATAGAAATGTCAAATACTAAATCTGAGGTTTTAGATATGGCAGGCATGTGCTATGCCGATTCTAACCTCATAATCAATCTGTTTATTTATATTTCATTATTATTTATATAAATAACTCAAGAGGCAAACATACCAAATACTCCTGCTTCCTCCTATCTTCCATACAACAATAACCTTGTGAGGTTAGTTGGTTGAGAGTGTGTGAATGGCCAAAGTCACCCAGCCAGCTTTCATGTCTAAAGTGGGATTGGAACTAATCATCCTACTCACCAATACTATAGAACACAATTTCACAAGGAAAGGAGAGGTCAGAGGAACATATGCAAAACTACTATGAGAAATATTTGAAGCATTTGACAGATAAAGTAGTTCAGATCTGTTCTGATCTGAACTCTGGATTGGCAGTTCATGTGAAGTTGACAGAAGTATGGTTCAACTTGGTTACTAGGTCATGAGCAAGTAGACAGCCACAAGACAGCATTCAGTATATTAGATCTATGTCCCTCCTGGGAGACGATGTGGTTGGGTCCAGGCAGAGGTAAATTATGGGTACCACATTTTTCACACTATAAGACACACTTGCCCATCCCAAAAGTGGGTGGAAATGACTGCATGTCTTATAGAGTGAATATTGCGGTGGGGGGGGGGGGGGGGGGGGAGCCGATAGACAGAGAAAGGAAGCAGTAGACTTCCTCCCATATTTGGGGGGGGGGGGGGGGAGGAGGGTTGGTGCGGCAGTGGCATTTGCTGCCGCCTGTCATTGCTGCTGCTGTTCGCTGCCACCAGGGAACGCTGGAGCCTTCGCTGCCTAGCAGCTGATTGGTGGTTGGGTCGGCCTCCCAGAATACTGCTAATCAGCTGTTCTAGACGGTGGGGATCACTGCTGATCGCCGCCGCCATTCACCACTGATTGTTGCTGCCCAGTTGGCGGCAGCGGTGATAGGCGGCGGCAATCCCCGCCACCTAGAACAGCTGATCGGTGGTATTCCGGGAGGCCGATCCAACCACCAATAGCTGCTCAGCAGCGAAGGCTCTGGTGTTCCCCAGTGGCGGCAGCAGCTCAGCTCAGTTGACTGGTGGTGGGCGCAGTGGAGCGGAGCTCTGATGAGCCATGCGCTGGGGCTGCGATAACGTGCTGAAGCTGACCAGGCTGTTTGCTGCAAGGATGTTAGCCAGATGAATGTTGAGAGACAGAGGCAGTTTTTTTTCTTGTTTTCCTCCTGTAAAGCTAATGTGCATCTTATAGTGCGAAAAATATGGTAATCCTCAATTTATACCATTGTTTAACTGACAGTTCACAGTCATAACAACATTGGAATAGAAGCTTCCAACCATTGTAAAGCAACATACTTCCCCTCCCCTGCCTCATGACTACAGTTTGGGCATTTATGACCAGTTGACAAGTATCCTGTGATCCATGTGCAATCTTTTCTGCTCATTTTTTTCCAAAAAGCAGTGAAGAATCCAGCAGGAAATTTTGCAAGTGGTAGGGATGTTAAATTTGAGGTTCATTCCTCCAGCCCACTGAGGGATTTCCCCTCCTTTCCATGAAGGGAGAGGAAATCCTCCCATATGCTGGGGAAAAGGAGCTCAGATCTGGCAAAAACAGTACTGAATATCTGTTTCAGTTCCTCAGGAGGGGAAAGCACTAGCAAATGCTGGCATTTCTACCCTTCCAAAGGGGAAAATGGCTCAGAATGCTGGCATTCCCTAATATTTTCATCAGATTTGAGGTCTGTTTCCCCCAGCACAAGATAATTTTCTCTCCTTGCATGGAGGGGGGAGGAAATTCCTTGGCATACTGGGGTAACAGAATTCACACCTGGCAAAATGGTAGTACCAGGGTTTTGACCCTTTCAGAATGCTTATGTTTGGTAGCACATTCCACTCTGGAAAACACTAATGAATGCCAGATTTTACGCTCCTCCAGAGAAAACATTACTGTGAAATAATTGAAAATACTTGTAGTTTGGGTTTTAGATTTTGACAGTGGTTTGCTCTTCAAGTTTGTTTCACTTTAGTTTCTGAATGTTTTCATTTCCAGACTGGTTAACATTATCCACAGGATTTTCTTATCCTATTCTCCCTAGCTTATAAATGTCTTGTGTGCCAATGTGGTCGATTGGTCATTTGATTAGCTGTTTATTTGGAGCTATATTCAAATTCTGAGCAGCTGTTTGGTTCTCTTGTTGATTGCAAGTCTATCTAACCTACAAACTAACAAAAGCTTTAAGAAAAAGATTTCACCACCTCATCAACAATTTGGCTTATTCTATAAACTCAACTGAACAATCCTTCAGTTAGTTTAAAACATCAAAATAAATGAAGAATAAAACATGGTTGCGCAAGAAGCTGGCTTCCAGCCAAAGCAACTGAACAGGAGCATGCAGATCAAGATGAAAGACTGGTAAGAAGATTTAATTAACCCACGGTCATACATCAAAACTTGGAAAAGGCAAAGAATCTTGAGAGTATAAATAATATTAATGGACAGATCTGGATTTTGGTAAAAAGAAAGAAAAAAGGGAAAATGGAGGGTTGAATCACTAGCTCCCCTCCCCCCAAAAGCCATTTGCTTGAAACAATTTGAACAGAAAAGGAAAAAGTAGAGAAGTGACAAACCCACTCAAATACAAACTCTAAATTTGGTTTTGGATTTGAAATAGAATGCAAACATATCGAGGTGGTTTGCTTCGTCCAAATTTCTTCTAACTAATATATCTTAAGCAACCTCAATTAATGAGAGGTGGAATGTAACAAGGGGAAAAAAATCAAGAAAAAGCACTATTTTCTCACTGATAACTGACAACCTAATCTTTCCTGTGTGAGAAGATTTAATTAACCAACTGCCATAAATCAGAACTTGGAAAAGCAGGAGATGAAGAGAAACATACCCGAGTTTGGCTATATCGCACGTTTATTCCAATTAATATATTCTGAGCAACTATAACCAATGAGAGGTGAAAGGTAACAAGGGGAAAAATAATAAAATCAAGAACTGGGAAAATATGAAGCTTTTTTTTCTGCAAAAGATCAAGATGGTTCCCCCTTCTATTTTGCTTCACATTAGCTAAATTAGCTAAATTTAAGGTGGACCAGAACTTTGAAATAAGAAGTGTATAACTAACTGCAATTTTGGAACTGGACATTAAGGAAGAACAAAAGACTAAGACGGCTCCCTCTCTTTTTCCTCTCCACATTAGCTGAATTAGCTAAATTTAAGGTGGACCAGAACTCTGAAATAAGAACTGTATAAGTAAGTGTATTTTTGGAACTGGACATTATGGAAAGGTGGGAATTCGAAGAATTACATGAAATTATAAAAATATGCATAAAATCAAGTTTAAGTAGAATTCTGAACTCAGAGAAGCAGGAACTGAAGGAAGAAGGGAAGGAAGAAGGGGGAAGGGATAATGAAGTGGTAGAAACAGTGGAAAATAAAAAACAGACAAAAAACTTCATTGGGTTTGACAATAGTATAGGGAAAACTGAAAAGGGGGGATATGTTCCAACAAAAGCAAATAAAAAGCAGACAAAAGATCTCACTGAGTTTGACAATGGTATAGGAAAAACTGAAGAGGGGGTTATGCCCCAATAAAGGGAAATACAAAAGATTTCACTGGGTTTGACAGTTGCTTGGGGAAAATTGAAGAGGGTGGACATGTCAAAACAAAGAAAAGGGAGAAGACGGGAATAGAGAAGTGGGACAAAAGACTTACTAGGAAAAAAATCAGATAATCAGAAATTGTTATATGGGAAATATAAAGCTGAGATATGTGGTTTACTCCTATATATGATAATTAAACTGAGTTCTCAAATGACTGAATATGACAATGGAAGGAAAATTAATATATATATGAATGAATGAATGAAATATGGACACATATAGAACTCTTTAAGATGATGAACAAAGTGAGATGTATACCGCTTATCTCAGCTTTATATTT